CCGCATGTGCGCGCATTTACTTGACAAGCGCGACAAAGGCAACCGCGAAGACACCCAATACAAAAGGAGAGCGAAGTGGAAACAGGCCAGCGAGCCGACAAGCCGCCCTGGCAAATCAGGACGCCTCATCGTCGGGCTCACTGTCCGAAGAGGCAGAGGGGGGGGGGGGGGGGGGGGGGGGGGCGGAGAAAGTGGGGAGGAAGGAGGAGGACGCATGTGCGCGCATTTACTTGACAGGCTCGACGAAGGGCACCGGGAAGAGGCCGATGCGGCTGTCGGACTCGCGCTCGCCAATCCACCAGTGGGTGTCCACACGGCGGAGGACCTTGATGATGTCCCCGCGGGCCAGGGGCAGCTCATCCGAAGACTCGGGCTCGAAGGCATACAGCGCGCGGACCTTGAGAGTCGGGGCGTTGGGGTCCTCGACCGAGGCGAAGGGCGGCTCGTTGGAGGCCGCCCCGCTGGCCCCGCCACACTGGCAGGTGCCGGTGGAGGGCGAGCCGCCGAAGTTGTTGGCGTTGTTGGCCCCCTCGAAGGGGTTGGTGGTGAGATCGGTCTTGGGAAGGCTGAGGATGCATGACATGGGGCAATGGAGTGGCGAGTGAACCATGATGTGTCAGTCTCAAAGGCTGGATGGGGAGAAGGAAGGAGGGCACCGGGGGCGGGGGCAGGGGGGGGGGGGGGGGGGGGGGGGGGGGGGGGGGGGCGTGCGTCCCAGCGCACGCCCATTTCCCTGCCCCAGGCGGCGGCGCGCGGGCTGGCCCCCCGCTGCCGCGGCCTTCGACCCTGGGCTCCAAAAAACGCCACCAGTGGCAGCAACAGCAGCCAGCAAAAAAGAGCGAGAAAAAAAAACAACCCCGCCCCGGCATGTAAAAGCAACTCAGGCGCACCTGGGCTCCAGATCCTCCAGCGACTGGAGGGCATCCCGCCAGGCGATGGTGCTGTTGAGGAAGAAGGTGTGCATGGCGCTGGCAAACTGGTGGATGTCCGCGACGTTGCCCTGCGAGCGGTCGGCCACAAGGAAGCGCATCATGGTCCGCGCATCGTCCAGGGTCTGGTTGTACTTGTTCCGGGCATCGATGTGCTCGCGCTCGGCCTCGGCGTACTTGGACGAAGAGGCGGCGGTTTTGCTGAAGCGGTGATGCTTGGCATCGCTGTCGAGACGACGGGACTCGAGCTTGCCCTTGATTTTCTGCGGTGGAGGTTAGAAGCTGGGCCGACGGGGAGGGGGAAGGGAGATGCAACACATGGGGGAAGAGCTGTCTTGCTCGGGGGCCCTGGTGGTGAAAGGGGCAGGAAGGGCACGTACGGCCCAGTCGCGGATGTCCTGCGACAGCTCGGTGTCCAGCTGCTGGTAGAGGCACCTGTGGATGGTGTTTTCCTGTGGACGCGCGCGCGTGCGTGTACGTGTGTGTTAGAGAGAGAGAGAGAGAGTTGAGCATGGAGTGGCGAAAGGGAGAAGCCGGAGGTGAAGAGGAGAGAGGGAGACGGGGGAAAGAAAGGAGGAGGGGGAAGGAGGCCGAGGATGCGACGAGACGGCGTCACATCGGGCACGCGGAATCCCCAAGGCAGACACGTACCAGATCCATCGAGTGAGAGCCGCAGTTCTCCAGAGCCACGGAGCACATGCGCAGGGCAGTGGCGAAGCGGTTGTACGCCGCGCTGTCGACGCTGTTGTCGGAGTTCTGCGCCTCCTTCAGACGCTGGGCGTAGCCCTCATCCTCGTCATCGTCATCGTACGAGCGGATGGAGGGGGCCCCACCGGACTCGCTGAGCGAGGGGGTGGCCTCATCGGAGGCCCCCTCGGCGGCCGACTGGGCCGGGGGCAGGGCAAAGGACGTGGTCGAGGCCTGGGAGCTCATGCGCGAGGACCGGCTGGCGCTGCGCTTGAGATCCGACGACACAACCTCGTCCTCGGCCGAGGCGAACATCGGCGGCGGAGTGGCCTCCAGAGCCACAGCAGCCCGGAGCATGGCCAGCGCCGCGGTCTGGAAGGCCGACACATGGGCCGAATGGGCGGCCATCGTGCCGGGCATCAGGACCATGTCAGGGCGGATGATCTGCGGCAGCAGGGGCTTGATGCCATCGGTGAGCTTCTCCAGGGCCTCCTTCTTGGAGTCGACGGACTGGACGCGGGATGGCGGTGGCAGGGGCGGAAATAGCCAGAAGGCGGGGGGGGGGGGGGGGGGGAAAGGGCAGTCAGCTAACCGAGGGAGGGGGCAGAGGGGAAAGGCAACGGCCAAAGGCGAGGACCGAGAGGGGGCGTACGCGGTCGAGGGCGCTGAACTCGTCATCAACGGTGGTGGCGACGGCCTTGCCGGCCTTCTCGGCCGTCCACTGGCGGAGCTGGCCGAACTTCTTGTCGAACCTCTGCATGACGGAGAAGGGCGCGAGGCGAGGGGGAGGGGG